GATACCATCGTGGACTTGGAGATACAGGTTTACTTCTTGGGAACCCAAGCAATGGCACCCCCAGTATATGTGAATATCCATGTACTAGTAGGCATGGATGCATTAGAATTTGTAATCTAGTTTGCATCATTGTATCCTTCTATTGACCCACATAATTTAGACCACACTCTTTGGTTCCTTTGATGTCCACATAGACCACATTGCAATGCTTTTGACCTGGGTTATTGGGATTTCACAAGTTCACAAACCTGAAAATTAGCACCAAAATCAATTGGTTTCCTGATTCTTTTGCTTCTCTATAGTTCAAAGTCCTCAAGGTTCTCATGCTCGTCAATTCACATGTACTATGAAGTTCTTCATATTCTTCATCCTACTTACCAATGTGTGTTAAAAAACATTTGCATCCCTGGACTCTATAATCACATAAGATTCCTAGTCAAGAAATTTAAATGCTTTACTAAGTTCAGTATAGACCAGCAAAACACACTTCACAGATCTAGATCCAAGTTTGGGCCTCTTAAGGTCAAGGAGCCTAACTAAGGCCTTGCAACTCCAAACCTTGAGGAATCCTAAATAAGGTCTTCCTTTCCAAAGTTCATATGGTGCAAGATTTTGAATATGGTATCCAGTTTAAAACATAACAAGCTTATATTAAAGCTTGTCCCAGAAATTAGTAGGGAGGTTTGAACTGATGAGCAAGGCATTCGCCATATCCATAATTGTGTAATATTTTCTTTCAGGTAAACCATTCTATTGTGTTGTGTATGGGAAGTAACCTGGTGAATAATTCCATTTTCTTTACAGTATTTAGTGAAGTCAATGGAACAATATTCACTACCTCTATCACTTCTGAAAACATTAATTCAATTGGTTTTCAAATTCGGTTTTGTAAACGTTGAATTTCTCAAATGCTTTCTCTTTGCTTCTAATCAAATAAATATAAGTATATCTTGAGAAATCGTCAATGATAGTGACAATGTATATCGTTGTAAACCTTAAACTCTTGAAACTGATTTTCTACAGTGTTAGATCCCCTCTGTCAATTGTCGAGAACACCCTCTCCATCATGTTTTCCTTCTTTTTAAGGAAAACCCCCTGCTCCCCATTCCTTTTATAACCTTGATATAAGGAAATTGAAGGAATCAGTAAAATCAGCAAGAAATTAAGCAAAGCACTAGCAATAACTAGGAGAAACCTAGGGTTTCCTGCTCACTCCAATCTAGGGTCCAAAAGCCTAAGCATTTCTTTCTTTTTCAATTATAAAAATCATGCGGAATGACCCCTTCAAGGCCCCACGCACCTCTTATACATTATAATTTAATGTTCGAAGACATTACATGTCCATACAATAATTAAAATCACTCAAAAAGTCCTAACTTAGACACAAAGTTTATAATGACAATTTTAGCACTGAAACAGTAACCCATGAACAGTACCCATGAATAGTAATTAGTAAATAGCAAATAAAAATACAAAAATCCTAGTTACCCTAATAAACTTAAAAATACCTAAAAAAAACTAAAACTAAAATTAAAATATACATCCTTTAAAATTGAATAAAATTAAAAATAAGAATAATATTGTTCTATCATAACTCCGCCTTCGCCTTCGCCTGCCCCTGCTGGTCAATGCCTGTCTCAAGCCCAAGTAAAGGAGGAGGGTTGTGTCACATGGGCAGCTAGCATAAAACTTTGCCACAACTTTCATGAATACTGAATCTACATTATTGGCTCATGCTAGGGCATTCCCCGTAAGTGCTTATGGTCTCACTGAGAGTATGACCCTTGATAGAGCAGAGTGACGGAACACGATTCATATAGCTGACCCCATATAATTGGGATTACTGAGATGACACACGGTGGGGAGTTGGACAGGGTTCCATCCTGCTACAAGCTCTTTTATATCATTAAATTTTGAGGCAAAAAGGAAAAAACTTGCTTGGTGTGGGAATCGAATCACAACCTTAGTGAAGGATGAAAAGCTCGTCTACCATGTTGACCCCTACCAATTTTATGATATAAAAAGGAAGACACTTCTAGTTAAGTGTCGAAACCATACTACTAATTGATGATGTCACCCAATGGGTATCTCGTGATGTGTCACCACGTGTCGACATGCAACACCAAGCTCCATTCAAGTCCTGGGGTAAAACTGAATATAGTTTAAATGACATTAGTCATGATACTGAATTCTAGATCCAATGTGTTCTAAGGTTTATGGCTTCCATTGTAATCTATAGAAAGATGTCTCTTAGAATTATTAACACCACGATAGGTATGAATAACTAACAAATATTGCATCATGAAATTCTGTGCAAAGTTAGCCACTCTGGATGTGTTGTGTAAGATTTGGAAAACTTGTTTCAAAGTCGATACCATCGTCACCACGAACTCAGGCCTGAAGCCCTAGATTCTTCTTGTATGAAATAAGATGTTTTTTGTTCTTTTATGGTATACCAAACAAGAAGAATCAGAATAGTAAAAAAAGCCACACAGCAAAAATATCAGTTTCAGTAAAATTTAATTTACATGAGAGTTAGTAGAGATTCCTTGCAACTTTACCACGATTTAGACACAAAAGTCCCTTTTCTGGGAATTATTTGTTTTTTTTGTATTAAATAGGATCAACATACACAGAAAACACATGACGATTTTGGCCCTTGAGTGAGTGAGTGTAGGGTAAAGAGGGGCCTCGGAACTTTGAACACCGATGATTTCTCAGAAGATATCAATTGAATATACTGAAATGAATCAACTCAGTATCCTAAACTAGAGAGAAACTACAAAACAAGTGATTCAGTCTCCTTTGACTATTGATATAACACGCCAATGATAAGTTGGAGTATGTGGTGCTGAAATTGGTCACAAAGAAGAACCTCTTCCAAGAAGCATGCACCAACTTATTTAGTGAAAACTAGCTTGTCGATGTCTTGTTTGGGTTTATTAGAGGATTTACATTCCCAGGGGCCCTCGCGACTGCCCTGAAGAGCCTACAGAAAGGCTGGCTAAAAGCTAACCTAAGAGAGATAGTGAGAGACTGAGAGTTGACACTTCCTAAGAGGGGGCACTGGTCATTAAACTCATCAACCTTAAGATCCCTTTCAACTATGTTACACCAAGCTGCTTTCTCCATCCAAATTTCAATTAATCCTTTCTTTACATGCAGTCAGCTTCACTTCACTCTCAGAAAGTGATCTTTAATTGCAAAATCATCTAGAACCAAACTTTGTCTCAACTGGTATCCCATACCTAGTGCCCTCCTGAAACAACATTGTGACTGACCAATAAATTAGCCCTTTAAGCTACTGTAATACCTATCCAGATCTCCAAGAACTTACTGAAGGAGGATAGACTGTAATTTGATAGAAATAGTTTATATATCATTAGGTACCTGCTCTACAACAAACCTCAAATACCAGTTTCCCAATTAGGAGTCTATTGGTAAGCAGTCACATGATAATCAGACCGGCAAACCATTTTAGTGCATGTATGTCCTTTGATAACCATTGTTAGTGCTTTTCTAGAAGAACTCTCTCTGGATCTTGAGTTCATCTGGAACCCTTATAAGAACCTGGAACGGCAGTGTAAGGAATACTAGGATGTTGTAGGTTATCAACTTGAGTCTGTGACCTTCACAATGAAGGATAAAATTGATGGATCTAGCAGCTTTCAATTTTTAGTGCTCACTGATCATGTTCCAAAGACTCTTCTTTGGGTTTGCCACTATATAGAGGAAGACCAAATCTTTCCTTGGTGAGCTCATCACTCCTGCAATCTAAAGCTATCTGCCAAATATGCCAGCAAAACACCTTGCATGTTGATCCTTTCCATGATTGAACCTTACATCTGGTTGCTGTACCAAATTTAAACCACCTTCAAATGAGCCTGAAGTTTTCTGCCTGCTGTATGGTTGTCCCATATGCATCAATGTTTCATGTGCAACTGGCACGAGTTATGAGCTTGTCCCATTGATTTACCATTAAGCCCTCTCGTTAGATCCATCCAGCAATCTGGTCTATAATAAGTTAAATGCTTCTGGTCCATAGTGAAAAATAATGTGGTTCGGGGATCACCTTGTAGAAGCATCTTATACTTTATTAATGAGGATAGAATGACACTTTGAAAATACATTCATTTGCCTATCTCTTCAGTCTGACTACAATTCCTGTACAGCTCGACAAGAAACCAAGAAAGCCCCTATCGACATGGACATATATGGTCGTGTCAAGGTTGTAAGTAATTGCTAATTTCAGTTTTTTTATTATGAAATCAATGTCTTCTTGTTCTATTACTGCACCATTCAGAACTTGCCTCTTCCCCCGTCAATAAGGTTAAGATTAATTATTTTATTTATTAATGAAGGTTTGATGCAGGACAATATTATTCATCATCATCATACCATCAAACCATCGCTGCTAGTCTGTAGGGAAAAGCAAAACTACATAATGATATAATCTCTTGTTAGTTGTTAAAAAATGCTCACATCAAGATTTGAACTCCTACCACCTTGGAGTGAGTTCTAGGCCATGAGCACCACCACCTCTCCATTCACACAATCGTTGTCATAAATTAAGAAATAATATTATATGTTAAGCAAAATACATTATTTTATACAAAATACATAATTTATTTATTAAAAAGCATATAGATGTATCAATCTGTACTCATTTTTTAGGTCAAAACATAACACTTTGACACTTGTAGACACCGACACTCCTGTCGATGTCCATGTAACACTGACGATATTCCTTTTGCAAGCTATGGTCCTAATAGACGGTTTTGAACATTTGCAAACATGATATAATAACACGATTCAAACGATATACCAATTTTGAGTATTGATATGGTGAAAGTAAATTATCAAAGAAAAAAGATTTGGCATAAGCAACTGAAGTTCACAACCTTTATTTCAGGCTGATTGACTGATGAGCGCCAGTGAGCTAGCATAAAACAAAAGAAAATAGAAATGGAAAAGCAGCACCATGTTTGAAATAAACTTACTCTATCGACAAAAAGATTCTCGCCTGATGGAGTCTTGAACAGTGCTAGTTGAAGCTCCTCCTGAAAATCTAAAGTTTCAGTTAAAAAGTATAATATAAACTATTAGCACTAAGATTGGAAATTCAGGCAAAAACAATAAGATCATCTTCTAAGCAATCCAAGTTTCCATTTTCGCATGCAACTTGAAATATTCACTTCCACAGTTAAAACACATGTAAAAAAGAAACGTTATGCATTTTTCTAGAAATATAAAGGCGAGTTATAGTCCTAGACTCACATTTCTGGTTAACAGCGGTAACCGTAACATTTCTGGTTAACAGCAGTAATCATAATATCTGGTAACCAACCTGATAGGCTGGGTACTTCTATACTTCAATTACAAAAGAGCATAATTTTTTATTTTTTTTATAATGTTAACCTTGAATTAATAAGAAAGAGTGCACATTATAGAACAACAAAGCATAAGTTATCAAAGAATAGAAATGCTACAGCAAAGCAAAGCCCCATGAATTTCCTACATAGAACACATTTTTCATAGAATCAGCAAACGAGAATCAGAAAACTAGTGCTCAATCTCTCTTTCAAAATTTCAATAGAAAAATGGGCATTCGCAGTAAACAGAAAATATTTTGATAGCACAAGACAGGCTTTCAATCTATTAGCAATCTATTATCCCAGTAATAGCTTTTGTGGCAATTTTGAGAAAATACGATTTTTTGTATGACTTTGATCTTGGAGCAGTGGGGGAGATCCAAACAAAATTTGGGATGGCATTACTGTTAACTCTTCCATGAATTTATGTACTTCAAAATGGAATGCATCAGATACAAATGCACAAGATACAAGACTCAAAGAAGAAATTAACAAAGGAAAGAAGTATCAAGCTAACTTCGATAAGCAAACCCATGGCGGTCAAAGCAATGGAATCAAGGATATCTACCTTGTGTATAAGGCCATCATCAACGAGTGAGCAGCTCAATTTCTTAAATAGCTCATACAATGCCTCCACTTCATTGATGCTAACTGGAAGACATCCAATCAAACCCAAAAGGCATCTTCAAATTAGATAGCAGAAATCAATCCATAAGAAAAAAAGAACAAAACAAATAATTATCGTCCACATTGTGCTTTTTTCACAAACCTCCCTATAAAAGTCCCAAATATCTCTCCTTCGAGTGGTTTTAAAACACAACTGCCTTGCACGCCAAGGCAAAACCTTGAGGTGGGGCAGGTACCTAGGCACCTCACTAGGATGATGCAGGCGCCCTTAGCAGCCCAAATCCTAAGCAAGCGCTTCAGCTGAGGCACCAGCCTCGGACGGCCTGGTTGATGGCAGAAAATTCTCCTAGGCCATGACCAAAATGGTCATTCCCCTGCCAACTCCCCCCCCCCAAAAAAAAAAAAAATCATCCTCAAAGCCTTTTCCCAACTACACGAATCATGGTCTGACATTCTGCTTTATTAAGGGCCATGCCCTCAGTGAAATCCCCATATCTTTTCTCGCTACCTCATCCCTAGATATGTATTCCAAATCCTTCGGTACGTTTTCTTTTGAGTTTATAGGAATGGAGATCCGGGTTGGAAATATTGTTATTGCTCGGATAAAAATGATCTACATAAAGTTAGGTCCAATTATCATAAACAATATACAAATGGGGGGGATTAGATTTAAAAGCCACCTTGTCAGTATCAAAGGGGTTTGACTGCCGAAAAAAGGGAAAAGGTGCTAGGAAGGCAAGCAGATAGAGTAGAAGGCAAGAGTTAATGTGTTTGATGATGGAAAGACCGAAGTAGGCTCTCCTCGAGGTAGTAAGAGTCGATAAATTGGGTTTATGAAGCCTCGTGTGAAGAGGGCTATGGATGCCCTCTTACCCCCAACCCGAAGACCACAGTGCATGATAGGGAGAAAAGAAAAAGGCAAGTTCCTATTGAGAACATGTTCAAATAGAAGAACATGCTAGGCATGTTCATATATAGCTCAATGGAGATATCAAGTGTGTGTTGCTTTCAATGCTGCTGGCCTAAAAGACCTCCATACGATTGTCGTAGACTTTTGGCCAAAATGGACCTAGCAGAAGGGCCCAAGCCCTTATGATCTTAGAAAGCACTTGGTGAAAAAAGGAGGTGCAGCTCTCAAAAGGGCAATTTAAGACCCACATGCATGCATGAATGCAATCACTGATTCAAAAATAGTGTGTTGGAAATCACTGAATCACATGTATAGGGCCTCAAGGAAATCCTTGTGTTCCTTCTTTGTGTTCATTTTATTTTTGCTTTTTTATACAAGATCCATGTTGTTTAAATACATAGGGCCTCAATGGCCTCTTTGACAGTAGGGCTATGTTGGGTGTTTATCTACCCATTTTTCTATAGAGCTCCAAACATGTGGGTGATGTTTTTGCCATGTACCTTCAATATTTTAGTAATATAGTCAAATACTAATAAAGAAAGAAAAAAATCACGTGTTGGACTCAGGAATTTCCAAAATCACATCAATTAGGAGGCTAGCAATAACAAACCAAAAAACACTGGAATCTCCTAAGTCTCATAATTGTCTAGTATTTTTTGAACTTTTTCTTAAACATAACTTGGTGTGACTCGTGAATCACCCGAGGTGGACCCAGCAAATCGGAATGGAACCCTTGGCAAGTTGAAGGCCCATTCTAACTTTTGAAACCCATGAAATATGGGGTTCAATCATAACATATTCATGGGGTGATAAGAGGAGCAAGAGTATAATGAATTTGATGGTGAATTGTCCTTTGGTGACAATGTTTCTTAGGGCATAATGATACTTATATGGATGCCACAATGCATAATCTTTTCTTGGATCAATAATTGTATAGAGGAGGCTGAAAAGGAGCATGTGATACAAGTGGTAACAGACATGGCTGCAACCAATATGCCAACCACTAAGTTATTGCACCAAAAGTGGCCTCATGTTTTGGACAAACATGCACAACAGACTGCATGACCTCATGCAGTGGGCTATTGGTGAAATGCCAAGGGAAAAGGGAACACTTGATAAAGTTCAGGCTATGACAATGTTCCTCTACAGTTGCACCATTACCGTTAGGTCTTAGCATGGCATGGAAGTTCACCGACATAGGGATATGTGAGGCCAGGAATTGAGAGATTTTGCTCTTACCTAACTCTATAAAGCATAATTAATCAGAGAAAGTAATTGTGATCTACATTCACTTCAAAGGATTTGTCTAAATGGAAGTGGTCGAAGCAGGCTAAAAAGAAGAGGGTATGTAACATTGTTTTGTCAAAGTATTTTTTGGAGTGGCAAAGTGTATAATTCATACCATTGGTCAAAATTTTGCACTTGGTTGACAGTGAGATGAAGGTTGCTATATATGATGCATTAGAGGAAACCAAATGGGAGACCCACGGCATTGGGGGACGATGACAGCATTTGAATCCTAATATCAAGATTGTAAACACAAAATGGGCTTCGTAGGCCCTGGGCTTGCAGCTAGATACTATTTGAAACCAAATTTCTTTAATGTAGACTTGGATATTGAGAAGAAGAATGCAATTATGGTGGCTTCATTCTTGACAAGGATATCCAGCATATGATATCTGTTCAAGAGTTGATAGTATAGAATTGTGCGTTAAAATTGTTTGCGAGGGAAATAGCTGTGAAACAATGGGCTGTGACAAATCTAGGCGGTCACCCCCATATGCGGCATAGCGCCTTTAAGACATTGCTCCTTTGTACTATTCTTTCAGCAAAAGATTATACAAGTGTAAAGAGAACTAAAACGACACAAGCCCAACTCTATCAAAATCCTCACAATAAAAATGGAATTCACATCAAGTTTCAGCACAAAATAATTTGGAACCAAGCACTCATGAAAGCTTAGAAATACAACTACAAAAGGGAAATCAAAACTTTCAGGGTCAAACTTAAAAGGATGAAAAATGAAGGAATTTACAGGGTGAAATATGAAGGTATTTACAAGGTGTGTCCTTGGCCAGTTCCATAACCTCTCCGTATCCACGATGTGGCTTCCGAGGCCTGTCCTCAAAGCAACAGACTAGGACACCAAACAAGGCATCGAGAAGGGCAACCAGAGGTAAACAGAGCCCAAAAATCCTCTCGCTTAGCGTTAGAGACCCCGATCTCTGCATCTCCTTCTCATTAGAACAATAAGGTAAATCAACGAGAAAAAACAAAGGAAAAGCACACCAAAAAGCGCATCAAAAAAAAGAAATCAGACAGAAAGAGGAAACTGAAGAAAACATACGATTTGATCAGCTAAAGAAGCCGCAGTGGCCATGGAGCCGTACCGGAGCTGTTCATCTCAAGAACACTCATCGAGCTTCTAATCAGGAGTTAGCATAGAGAAAGAAGAGAGAGAGAGAGAGAGAGAGAGTTGAGTCTTAGAGAGAGAGAGAGAGAGGTCGAGGTACGTAGGAGGAGAGAGAGTAGGTTCGGGCTCAGAAGAGAGAGAGAGAGGTTCGGTGGTTTTAAACCAATAATTGGAGGGAGGAGGTTGTCTGTGGTGAGTGGGAATGCCCGCGGCCGTTGACTTTGTCTTTGGATTAGGGAGAAGAAGAAACGAAGGGAGGTGGGGTATTTAGAATCACGCATATACTGTGCTTCTGCAGGATCATATTGCCCATCTACGCCCTCGTTCATAAGCTAGGTTAATTGTTTTTGGTCTACAAACCATATAAAAATCATTAGATACTTATTTTCAAAATAAAATTTTTTAATTTTCAATTTTTTTGGTATTAGATCTGGCCCTTAAAAAATTGGAGGATCTTTATTTAATCTTGAGGCATTAGTTTTTTATAATACATAATGAATTTATTTCTAATTTTTTTTCTTTTTTTTTTTTACGGAGATTATTCTATGCGTTCTAAAAATTACATCCCCAAAATTTGAAATCTAAAAGGCATCCTAATATGTATTTTGCTAGGGTAAATAGATAGTATACTCCCAAAGGAGTAAATAGATAGTATAATCCCAAAGAAGTAGGAGATATTTTTGGGATTTCTCAAATACGAGAGTGGGCCTGCATTAGTTTTCTAAATTTAAGTTTACGTAGTACCTCGAACAAGGATGTAACAAGCAGTGCGCACACAATGCCAAACCAAACCTGAATTAGTGGGTCCCAGGCGCTTTTGCTTTTGAACACGTTTGCTTTGTGTGGGGCTGTCAATTCGGGTAAACTAGCGGACCGCATGGGTCAACCAGGACTTGGGCTGGGTTTAGTTGATTGACTCAACGGGTTAGGAGGATCCTGATGTATGAGTGTTGGGTGGCGTTGGGTTGAGCCAATTCTACTCTAGAATCAGGTTGGGTATGGGCCCGCTAACCAGTTATTTTTTAGATTTAAACTTGTAATTTGTATTTATTAAAAACTAAAGTTCCTATCTCATATTTTTCATTTCTCGATAAACTCAAGGTTTCAAAGATATCATCCACTTTAAACTCATTTTTTAACCTAAACTAATGTGAGAAAGACATGTTTTTTTTAAACCCAATATTTTTTCCCTTAAAAATATATCTCAAACTTCTCTCTTTCTCTCTCTTCATGCATCTCTTACTCTCTCTTCTCGTGTTTCTCCAAGCACCTCCCTCTCTCATCTCGGTAACCTCTCATCTCCATGAAGCCCTTCTCTCTCTGTAGAAGTTTTAAAACATGTGTGTTTTTTTAGATTTGTTTGACCTAAAAAAATGAGTTTAAATTAGTTCAAGGGATTAAAAAAAATAAAATCTACAATTTTTACGTTCTAATATATCTTTTAAAACCTTGGGTTTATTGTGAAATAAAACATAAAAATAGAAAATATAAAGATATTTTTTCTAAAACATATACACTACTTTTTCAAGAATTTGGCCCAAAAACCTTCCAAACCCAAGCCAATCGGTCGGGTATGGGTCCGACCCATTTATACCCCTATGATGTGGGTCGAGAGAGATATCCAAGAGATTTATTTTATGAAACCATTTTCCCGTGAAAAACCGGAATTTAATATGGCGGTAGCCGAGGTTACAAATGCTTACACAATTTTGGGGCTCCGCTTTCTCATTAATCAAACATGATTAGCGGCTTGGTCCATGGAAACCTCTATTTTGAAAGGAGACTTCCCTCAAACCAAATGTGCCCAATGTTTCACAATCTTTTAGACATAAAAGCCTTTTTGAGTCCCATGATTGATGGTGCCCTCCGGTTTCAAGCGTCTGGGACTCGAAATACATATTAAATTACTACAATTTCATTTTAACTTCAAATCATTCAATTTTGAATTTAGGGCTCAAAATTCATTTTCTAGATTATGAATGCAATGGACAAGATGACAAATCTATAACGTTTTGAATCCTCAACCACGGGTTTTGGGCGGATGGACACCTAGTGGATACCCTAAAACATACATCAACCCTACCCTATGCAATAACAAACATGTTTATATAAAGTTGCAACCTTTATACCAATGGTTTAAAAAACGGATTGATGCTTCGGATCGAGCACCCAAAAAACCCATCTGAATTGGTGAATTGGTGATTCAGAATGGGAATCAACCGAATCAGTCGAATTCAGCCTTAAAAAAATCCAAAAAAAATATCAAAAATATTATAAATGTTGTTTTTTAGGAATCTAATATGAAATGAGAGTTATACATTAATAACTTTCAATTTTTTGCATCAATATGGTAATATTGAGATGTTTTTTCCCTGTATGAACTATTGTTAACCATTAAATTTACATCACACAAAAGGAAAAGCATAGAATTATCATGAATGAAGTATATAGTCATACATGGACTACAATAAAGCTTACAATTCGTAAAATATGACCTAATACCAAAATGAAAGACAAAGCTATCAAAGTTCATTGTCCATAAATTAGCAACCATACAATTTTATCATATATGATTATTAAAGTAGTGTCATAAGCATAATGAAATCAATAATAAAAATTTACCTGTCCAAGCAAGAGTTCAGCCAAAACACAACTAGTTGACCATATGTCAATCACTGAGGTGTACTCAATGGCTCTAAATATCAGTTCCAGAGCTTTATAATATCTGGAGCAAATATATAATATATTTGGCTCCCCCTTCACCTGTCAATCAGAATATATAAATGATCAAGTAAAACTAATTTATCTTGAGATTCTTCATTCGGTTCTTCAACATTTAGAATATTAAAATTCTCATACAAGTATATCCACCACATATAAGAAAAAAGTGATAAACACAAAATACAGCTAAATACTAATAATGTATATGTATACAAGTTTGTTACTGCCAGTATGGCATTTTGTGAATACATGAACTCCCAATAGCAAAAAGAAATACGAAAAAAGCCATGCTAAAAAAGAATTCGTAAAATTAATTTATTTTTTTTATCAAATTGATGAAGAAAAGGGGAAGAAAACGAGCTCCAAAAAAAAGAGTAAAATTAAAATATAAAACAGCACATCACTGTACCTGAATTTGATGAAAGCTTGTTTTCCCATGGATCAAATTGATGAAGAACAGCCACAAAAATCGAGTTTCGACAGAAAACCCTAATCCGCTAAAAAAAACCCAAATTTTATAAACTTAAAAACATATTCCCCTCCATTATTGAGCAAAAAAAGACGGATTTTTACAGTGTTTTGGTGGAAAAAAAAAGCTTGATTTTCGTGAAAAGGCTGTAAACTCACGGGCTTTAGCTTGTAACTGTAGCAATTCCGAATCAATCGTCGATTCCCCTCTAAGATCGCCCAGTTCCACGTTTTATGCTAGAATCGGCATGGGATTACCGATTCCCAAGTCAAATTAGCCGATTCCATGCCAACTCGCTGAGTTTTCAAACCTGCTTTATACTATTGAAGTAAGATGCACCTTATAAAAAAACGTAATAGTGTTACGGTGTTGGAGAACTCTATAATTAATCATTTCAAACTTGGAGATGTATGGACATGAAGAAAAAAAGAATCCAAGGCCATAAAAAATGCATCTTGTCACAAGTCATCTTTTGATTTGCTTTACATTGCTTATAAGTTCTATGTAAATTATGTTTGGATTATTTTTTGGTGGATAATTAGGTGTTTGATAAGGTAGAGAATTATGCTTATATTTTTTATTATAGAATATATTTCCTTTTTTCTATAATGAGGAAAAAGGTGCTAAGAAGGCAAGAGTTTTTAACTTTTATCCAATAGAGAAAGAGAGAGAGTTATATCATGTGGGTAGAGACAGAGGGCTTGATATCAAACGGATAGAGAGAGAAAGAAAGAGTTTTAACATGTAGGGTAAAGGGGTGGAAGGGCAGTTTAGTTTTTAAAACTTTAACTTTTTTACTGAAAAATAAAAACAAGAAAAAATAATAACTAGATTATGGATGTGAAAAAAAAAGCTTGATTTTCGTGAAAAGGCTGTAAACTTACGGGCTTTAGCTTGTAACTGTAACAATTCCGAAACAATCGTCGGTTCCCCTCTAAGATCGCCCAGTTCCACGTTTTATGCTAGAATCGGCATGGGATTACCGATTACCAAGTCAAATTAGCCGATTCCATGCCAACTCGCTAAGTTTTCAAACCTGCTTTATACTATTGAAGTAAGATGCACCTTATAAAAAAACGTAATAGTGTTACGGTGTTGGAGAACTCTATAATTAATCATTTCAAACTTGGAGATGTATGGACATGAAGAAAAAAAGAATCCAAGGCCATAAAAAATGCATCTTGTCACAAGTCATCTCTTTATTTGCTTTACATTGCTTATAAGTTCTATGTAAATTATGTTTAGATTATTTTTTGATGGATATTAGGTGTTTGATAAGGTAGAGAATTATGCTTATATTTTTTACTATAGATATATTTCCTTTTTTCTATAATGAGGAAAAAGGTGCTAAGAAGGCAAGAGTTTTTACTTTATCCTAGTAGAGAGAGAGAGAGTTATATCTATGGTGGACAGAGACAGTAGTAGTATTAGAT